ATTACTGCTATTAGTACTGCATACTACTATGTGTAGGCATTTCATCACCCCAAATTACATAGTAGAAATCCTGTTGCACTCTGTTTAAGGCCTAAGTATACTTCGTTTTTGTACTCGTAAGCTAGTGTATATGCGTACAGTCGAACACGCGTAGCCTTTCAAAGTATACTCCATTTGAAGTCGTGCACGAACGCGGGCGGTCGACGCATGCATGTGCAGTGTCTGCTCGATTGTCATGACTGATAACAAGTATTTTTGAATTCTTTTAAACCAAAGTTGAGCTGTCTCATACCCTCTCGCTCACACGCGCTTGTCAATGTGAGCATCTGTTGTTGCAGTCGCCGCTATTTTGCTGTCGTTGTCCATCTCTTTAGTTTCGTTTTCTACTGTGAAACAACGGCCCGGGACAGTAAAATATACTTGAACTTTACTTAAGTATACTTACTAAAATAAACTTGAAGTATGCTACTTTTTGGTAAGCGGGGGTAGCCACTAGCTCCAATGAGAAAAAAGCCAGGTGGAGGGTACGACCGTGAGGCATCTACAGGACTGTTTTTAAGACCCTGGAATCATGCACGGAGCCAACAAATATGCCCAAAAACTTTGTGCTTGGGTCGAAAATTGCCTGGAGAATAATTGATGGGTAAAGTTTTCTATTAAAGTTGCCCTGACCTAAACCTTTTCCTGGAGCTCGTATTCTAATGTGGCAGCCATCCATGGCTCCTACTGGCCTCCTTTTGCCTTTATTTATTTGATTTGATTTGTTTGCTGTGGTTCTGTGTTCAGTTGTTCAATTAAAGTTTTTGTTGTAACAACAACAAAAAATGCTTAAAAATAAGACTTTTATGAAAACACTGAATGGAAAATGGCTAAAATAGAAGGCTCCGAGTGACACTTAAACGAAGAGCCATTTGGGAGCCGAGCCAAAAGATCCGAATCTTTTGAAAAGAGCCGGACTTCCCCTCACGCCGTCTCGCGCCGATGACGTCACCACCGGCGCCCTCCGTCTCCTGAGGTGAGGTAAACAATACACTTTACACAGTTGTAGTCATTGCTATTATTATGAAATACACGTTTAGCTTTGCGTGCAGCGATGCGAGGAGCTACAGTTAAATTCAGTAAGACTTCTGAGGCGTAATTTTGACCCATACAATGTATTTTTGGCTATTGCTACAAATATACCCCAGGGACTTAAGACTGGTTTTGTGCTCCAGGGTCATATATATATTTATACAACAGTTCGTTCTGGTTCTCAAATCTGATTGGTTGAGAACCGTGAGATATTGCATTGGTATCGCTACAGGAACGCCCCTTTCACCGCTTGTATCCCTCCGCTTGTTCTAGCCGGATCTATGTTTTTTTATTATTATTATTCGCTGAGCTAATCGTAGAGTACCCACGTATTCCCAACTTCTGAGCCTGCTCGCCTGAAGTTATGGTTGATTGCTCTTCGGCTGGATATCAACACACCCGTTAATGTAAACTCCGCCCAAAGACAGTTGGACATAGTGGTGTATTAGAGGTAAAAATTACATAAATACTGTTCGGTTTCTGGCACAATTCGATCGTTTCGTGTCTTAGGACATCAATGTGTCGTCACGAGCCGCAGGGTTTAATTTGGATTTGTCTGTGCATGTTTTTTTTACTCTCATA